CATATCCTGCTAAGTGCTAATTTACTTTTTACAACACTCTTATTTTTGTTCTTCTCCTTCTTCCAGATGATCATCAAAAATCTAATCAGCATCTCATTTTTGATCTGCTGGCACTTTGGTGAGAAACAAGTTTTATTTGTTGTGGAAATGATCTTTATTCTGTTTGATATAGTTGTCTTCTGGCTTATTTTCCCATTTTCAACATGTATGCTGTTTGGAACAGTTAGTAAAGAATAAATTAAAATGAGTACACTTTGTAATGCACAGCTATTTGTTTCATTTCTTTATATAATAATAAAATAAAACTGTACCAATTAAACACTGAGCTGGATGGTTTTTTATGCTAGATGTGTGTTTCACAACATTAAAAACATGTTATCCATTGTTTCTTTACCTCAAGGCAGGCTGTCAGCAGGGATGTCCAGCAATCTCCAGCTCATGTTATAAGGAGCTCAGGAGAAACTGCTCAACTTATCTGCTCTCAAAACATCTCTAGCTACAACACAATACTATGGTATTATCAAAATCAGGGTGAAACAACCCTTCACCTTCTAGGATATATCTACTATGAAAGAGAAACTTTGGAGAACTCAGAAGAGAAAAGGTATAAACTGACTGGAGATGGAAAGACGTCTGGAAGTCTGGAGATCTCTAAACTCGGCATGAACGACAGTGCAGTTTATTTCTGTGCTGCAAGTGAACACAGTGCTACAGTTCCTCAGTAAGCTCTACAAAAACCTCCCTGTCATTCACAGCTCAGCTTTCTATCCAATAATGGAGATTTTAATCTTTAATTTGAGGTGCTGTAATGTTTTAGGGGGGTGGTTAGTTGGACAAATTGTGTCTGTGTGTGTGTGTGTGTGTGTGTGTGTGTGTGTGTGTGTGTGTGTGTGTGTGTTGGGTGGGGCGGGGGGGCAGATGGCTTTGCATACACCATCTCTTTCCATTCAGAGCAGAACCACTCAGTACAATTATGACTACTGTTCTCATCTCACTTTCTGCCTCACTATTGTGCCTTACAGGTAAATATTTAATGCAGGACTTTCTAACACTGTAAAGTTACTTTATTTACATTTTATACAGTATTTTATCTCTCTCTCCACAGGTTCTGTTCTTGGTAATGTAGTTCAGAATCCACCAGATCTCATAAAGAATCAGAACGACACTGCTGAGATCAAATGTGCTCACACTGTAAAGAACTATGAGCGCATACTGTGGTACAAACACAGTCAGGCCACCGATTTGAAGTTAATAGGGTACCTCAATTTTCAGACTCCAAACCCAGAGACTGAATTTCAAAAGAAGATCACACTGAGTGGTGATGGAAGAAATAATGGCTCATTGCTCATATCCAGCCTGTCAGTGAATGACAGCGCTGTGTATTTCTGTGCAGCCTATTACACAGTGCTGTAGATTCCCTCACTACACTACAAAAACCTTCATCTGATCCACATTACCACCAAGACAACACCTGGAACTGTTTGATTTAGTGCCAATAGAAACACTAAAATGTTCAGCAACTGAACAGTGCAGTGCTGGTACATCACTTCATTTGTTTCTCTCATCAGCAAAAGTAAAAAATGTCTAGTAAACAAAACATGGAAAGAAACAATACAATGCTGTACTTTCCTCCTGTCTTTGTAAATGGCTGTGACCACTGATATGATGTCATAGCTTCACTTTAATTATGCCATTTTATTTCAATTTGAAATTATCAAGAGTCAACATGACCAGAGCCATTATAACACTGCTTCACTTACTCTACTGGATCCAAGGTTAGCAAACATACTTCCTTGATGAACAGAGAGAGGCTGTACAAAAACAGTACAGGCCAACCAGCCTAAATGCTGATCAAATGCTGTGTAAGAATGCACTTCCAAATTTTATCATCAGAGGGCGCCATGACGATGATGTTCAAGAGGTACTCCTGTGTCTTATGTTGCATTAGTCTGAAGTAGGAATCCATCCAACTTTGAGATTAAGCATGATCAGAGTTCACAGCATTATTACTGTTTCATTTATAGGCCTGTTTGGTAAGGTTTTAAATGATGGCCTGTTTAAACATCTATTTTGATGCTGTGATGTTCATTTTTACAATTTTTCTTTCATTCCAGGGTTTTCTCACAGTAATCAGGTCACCCAGACTCCTGCTCATCTCACTGGAAACCATGAAGGACCTGTTACAACCTTCCTCTGATCCACATTACCACCAAGACAACACCTGGATCTGTTTGATTTTGTGCCAGTAAAAGCAATAAAAGGACCTGCAACTGAACAGTGCAGTGCTGGTACACCACTTCATTTGTTTCTCTCGTTAGCAAATGTAAATAATGTCCAATAAACAAAACATGGTAACAAACAATACAATGCTGTATTTTCCTCCTGTGAGTAAGGAGGAGCCAAATGGCTGTGACCACTGATATGATGTCATGTCCTGTATAGCTTCAAGTTAAATTATGCCATTTTATTTCAGTTTGAAATTAGCAAGAGTCAACATGACCAGAGCCATTATAACACTGCTTCACTTACTCTACTGGATCCAAGGTTAGCAAACATACTTCATTGATGAACATTTTGAAGAACTTAACTGCCATGCTTAGAATTCACAAACAAACAATTAACAGTAGACTAATGTCTGTTACAGTAAAACTTTATTATTCTTCATCCACAGGTGTTGTGAGAGCAAATGATGTCATTCAGCCCAATATAATCTGGGCAAATATGGGTCAATTAGCCACGATCGACTGCAGACACACTAAGGATGCATTTCATAATCAGATGTACTGGTTCCGCCAGCATCAAGGAGAGTCTATGAAGCTTATTGCCTTCACAGCCACTTTTAACACACAGCCAGATTTTGGAGAAGGTTTTGATGAGAATAAATTTTCAGCCAATAAAACAGTTGCTGAGAGTGGATCATTAACAGTGAAAGATCTGGATTCTACTGACAGTGCTGTATATTTCTGTGCAGTGAGCAAACACAGTGTTAGAAACTCAGAGAGAGGCTGTACAAAAACAGTAAAGTGCAACTAGTCTGTAGGTGGTGCTGTAGTTTCATTTATTTATTAAAGGAGTGGAGAACAGGGATATTTCCACTAAACTGATCTTCACAAAAATATGCTAAGGGCTAAAGTTACTTTAGGCACAAAGAACACAACACTCTTATTTTGTTCTTCTCTTTCTTCACAATGATCATCAAAAATCTAATCATCATCTCATTTTTGATCTGCTGGCACTTTGGTGAGAAACATGTTTTACTTGTTGTGAAAATCATCTTCATTCTGTTTGATATAGTTGTCTTTTTGCTTATTTTTTACATTTCTAATATTTATGCAATTTTGAACAGTCAGTAAAGAAATAATTTTAAAAGAATATATTTTATAATGCAGCCTTGTGATTTTTAGAATTATTCATTTAATTTCTTAATGTCTTAATCTGAGCTATACCAAATGCATTAAAGACATTACATTTATGCTACTGGTTCACAACCTTATAAAGGCTGTCATCCATTGTCTTTATCTCAGGTCAGTCCGTCAGCAGGGACGTCCAGCAATCTCCAGCTCATGTTATTAATAGCTCAGGAGAACCTGCTCAACTTATCTGCTCTCACCACATCTCTAGCTACAACACAATACTATGGTATTATCAAAAACAGGGTGAAACAACCCTTCACCTTCTAGGATATATCTTCCATAACAGAGCAACTTTGGAGAACCCAGAAGAGAAAAGGTATGAACTGGCTGGAGATGGAAAGACGTCTGGAAGTCTGGAGATCTCCGAACTCAGCATGAACAGCAGTGCAGTTTATTTCTGTGCTGCAAGTGAACACAGTGCTACAGTTCTTCTATAAACTCTACAAAAACCTTTCTGTCTGTCACGGCCCAGCTTTCTGTCCAATAATGGAGAATTTACAGTGCCTCACATTTAACAATAATGCAGATTAATGTTTTAGTGGGATGGTTAGTTGGATAAATTGTGTGTGTGAGAGTGTGAGAGTGTGAGTGTGTGTGTGTGTGTGTGTGTGTGTGTGTGTGTGGGTGTGTGTGTGTGTGTGTGTGGGTGTGTGTGTGTGTGTGTGTGTGTTTGGTGGGGGGTGAAGTGCATACACCATCTCTTTCCATTTAGAGTAGAACCACACAGCACAGAGAGTCATCATGACTACTGTTCTCATCACACTTTCTGCCTCACTATTGTGCCTCACAGGTAAATATTTAAAGCAGGATTTACTAATAATGTATAGTTACCCCCGGCAACCCAGAAGGATAAGAGGCTTAGAAAATGTGTGTGTGTGTGTGTGTGTGTATATATATAGTTACCTTGTTTACATTTTATACAGTATTTTCTCTCTCTCCACAGGTTCTGCTCTTTGTAATGTTGTTCAGAATCCACCAGATCTCATAAAGACTCAGAACAACACTGCTCAGATCAAATGTGCTCACAATGTAAAGAGCTACGAGTGCATACTGTGGTACAAACACACTCAGGCCACGGGATTTAAATTTATGGGGTACCTCTATGCTGTTACTCCAAACCCAGAGACTGAATTTCAAAAGAAGATCACACTGAGTGGTGATGGAAGAAATAACGGCTCATTGCTCATATCCAGCCTGTCAGTGAATGACAGTGCTGTGTATTTCTGTGCAGCCTATTACACAGTGCTGTAGATTCCCTCACTACACTACAAAAACCTTCATCTGATCCACATTACCACCAAGACAACACCTGGATCCGTTTGATTTTGTGCCAGTAAAAGCAATAAAAGGACCTGCAACTGAACAGTGCAGTGCTGGTACACCACTTCATTTGTTTCTCTCATTAGCAAATGTAAATAATGTCCAATAAACAAAACATAGTAACAAACAATACAATGCTGTACTTTCCTCCTGTCTTTGTGAGTAAGGAGGGGCTAAATGGCTGTGACCACTGATATGATGTCATGTCCTGTATAGCTTCAAGTTAAATTATGCCATTTTATTGCAGTTCGGAATTATCAAGAGTCAACATGACCAGAGCCATTATAACACTGCTTCACTTACTCTACTGGATCCAAGGTTAGCAAACATACTTCCTTGATGAACATTTTGAAGAACTTAACTGCCATGCTTAGAATTCACAAACAAACAATTAACAGTGGACTAATGTCTGTTACAGTAAAACTTTATTATTCTTCATCCACAGGTGTTGTGAGAGCAAATGATGTCATTCAGCCCAATATAATCTGGGCAAATATGGGTCAATTAGCCACGATCGACTGCAGACACACTAAGGATGCATTTCATAATCAGATGTACTGGTTCCGCCAGCATCAAGGAGAGTCTATGAAGCTTATTGCCTTCACAGCCACTTTTAACACACAGCCAGAGTTTGGAGAAGGTTTTGATGACAAGAAATTTACTGCCAATAAAACAGTTGCCGAGAGTGGATCATTAACAGTGAAAGATCTGGATTCTACTGACAGTGCTGTATATTTCTGTGCAGTGAGCAAACACAGTGTTAGAAACTCAGAGAGAGGCTGTACAAAAACAGTAAAGTGCAACTAGTCTGTAGGTGGTGCTGTAGTTTCATTTATTTATTAAAGGAGTGGAGAACAGGGATATTTCCACTAAACTGATCTTCACAAAAATATGCTAAGGGCTAAAGTTACTTTAGGCACAAAGAACACAACACTCTTATTTTGTTCTTCTCTTTCTTTACAATGATCATCAAAAATCTAATCATCATCTCATTTTTGATCTGCTGGCACTTTGGTGAGAAACATGTTTTACTTGTTGTGAAAATCATCTTCATTCTGTTTGATATAGTTGTCTTTTTGCTTATTTTTTACATTTCTAACATTTATGCAATTTGGAACAGTCGGTAAAGAAATAATTTTAAAAGAATATATTTTATAATGCAGCCTTGTGATTTTTAGAATTATTCATTTAATTTCTTAATGTCTTAATCTGAGCTATACCAAATGCATTAAAGACATTACATTTATGCTACTGGTTCACAACCTTATAAAGGCTGTCATCCATTGTCTTTATCTCAGGTCAGTCCGTCAGCAGGGACGTCCAGCAATCTCCAGCTCATGTTATTAATAGCTCAGGAGAACCTGCTCAACTTATCTGCTCTCACCACATCTCTAGCTACAACACAATACTATGGTATTATCAAAAACAGGGTGAAACAACCCTTCACCTTCTAGGATATACCTTCCATAACAGAGCAACTTTGGAGAACCCAGAAGAGAAAAGGTATGAACTGGCTGGAGATGGAAAGACGTCTGGAAGTCTGGAGATCTCCGAACTCAGCATGAACAACAGTGCAGTTTATTTCTGTGCTGCAAGTGAACACAGTGCTACAGTTCTTCTATAAACTCTACAAAAACCTTTCTGTCTGTCACGGCCCAGCTTTCTGTCCAATAATGGAGAATTTACAGTGCCTCACATTTAACAATGATGCAGATTAATGTTTTAGTGGGATGGTTAGTTGGATAAATTGTGTGTGTGAGAGTGTGAGAGTGTGAGTGTGTGTGTGTGTGTGTGTGTGTGTGTGTGTGTGTGGTGTGTGTGTGTGTTTGGTGGGGGGTGAAGTGCATACACCATCTCTTTCCATTTAGAGTAGAACCACACAGCACAGAAAGTCATCATGACTACTGTTCTCATCACACTTTCTGCCTCACTATTGTGCCTCACAGGTAAATATTTACTAATAATGTAACCCAGAAGGATAAGAGGCTTAGAAAATGTGTGTGTGTGTGTGTGTATAGTTACCTTGTTTACATTTTATACAGTATTTTCTCTCTCTCCACAGGTTCTGCTCTTTGTAATGTTGTTCAGAATCCACCAGATCTCATAAAGAATCAGAACAACACTGCTGAGATCAAATGTGCTCACAATGTAAAGAGCTACGACCGCATACTGTGGTACAAACACACTCAGGCCACGGGATTTAAATTTATGGGGTACCTCTATGCTGTTACTCCAAACCCAGAGACTGAATTTCAAAAGAAGATCACACTGAGTGGTGATGGAAGAAATAACGGCTCATTGCTCATATCCAGCCTGTCAGTGAATGACAGCGCTGTGTATTTCTGTGCAGCCTATTACACAGTGCTGTAGATTCCCTCACTACACTACAAAAACCTTCATCTGATCCACATTACCACCAAGACAACACCTGGATCCGTTTGATTTTGTGCCAGTAAAAGCAATAAAAGGACCTGCAACTGAACAGTGCAGTGCTGGTACACCACTTCATTTGTTTCTCTCATTAGCAAATGTAAATAATGTCCAATAAACAAAACATAGTAACAAACAATACAATGCTGTACTTTCCTCCTGTCTTTGTGAGTAAGGAGGGGCTAAATGGCTGTGACCACTGATATGATGTCATGTCCTGTATAGCTTCAAGTTAAATTATGCCATTTTATTTCAGTTTGAAATTAGCAAGAGTCAACATGACCAGAGCCATTATAACACTGCTTCACTTACTCTACTGGATCCAAGGTTAGCAAACATACTTCACTTTGGAAGAATTTAACTGTCATATAACTGCCATGCTTAAAAATAACATCCAAGCAATTAACAGTGGACTAATGTCTGTTACAGCAACACTTTATTATTCTTCATCCACAGGTGTTTTGAGAACAAATGATGTCATTCAGTCCAATAATCTGGGCTAAAATGGGTAAATTAGCCACAATGAACTGCAAGCATACAAAGGATGCAAATTACAATCGGATGTACTGGTTCCGCCAGCATCAAGGAGAGTCTATGAAGCTTATTGCCTTCACAGCCACCTTTAACACACAGCCAGAGTTTGGAGAAGGTTTTGATGAGAATAAATTTTCAGCCAATAAAACAGTTGCTGAGAGTGGATCATTAACAGTAAAAGATCTGGATTCTACTGACAGTGCTGTGTATTTCTGTGCAGTGAGCAAACACAGTGTTAGAAACTCAGAGAGAGGCTGTACAAAAACAGTACAGGCCAACCAGCCTAAATGCTGAGCAAGAATGCACTTCTGAATTTTATCATCAGAGGGCGCCATGACGATGATGTTCAAGAGGTACTCCTGTGTCTTATGTTGCATTAGTCTGAAGTAGGAATCCATCCAACTTTGAGATTCAGCATGATCAGAGTCCACAGCGCTGTTATAGTTTCATTTATAGGCCTGTTTGGTAAGGTTTTAAATGATGGCCTGTTTAAACATCTATTTTGATGCTGTGATGTTCATTTTTACAATTTTTCTTTCATTCCAGGGTTTTCTCACAGTAATCAGGTCACCCAGACTCCTGCTCATCTCACTGGAAACCATGAAGGATCTGCTACAATCAAATGTTCACACAGTGTACAGAGTTATGATCAAATTAACTGGTACAAACAAACCCAGAAACAAGATTTAACGTTCATTGGGTATCTCGAAAGAACGTCAAAACCTCAAATAGAGCCAGATTTTCTGAATAAAGTGAACATGACTGGAGATGGAACCAAGAATGTCTTACTGACCATCAAAAATCTTTCAGACACAGACAGTGCAGTGTATTTCTGTGCTGCGTGTTACACAGTGCTGCAGAGCTGCTTCACGACAATGCAAAAACGCCTGAAGACGTTATTAGCACCTGCTTCTGTGGCCTGCTTTTGACTCACTGCCAGTTTTCACAAATAAGAAGCACCAGTACAAACTTGGTTGTGAAACTTGCCAACTGACAAAGTCCTTTCCAAGGAGATTTGTTATGATGATTACTTTTTACTGTTTTACACTGACATTTGCTTCATTTCAAGCTTTAATAATTGAGGCAGAGTCAAAAATCAGGAACCATGCAAATATCTGTAAAATGTTTAATTTCTTTTTAAGAGAAAGATAAAACTGTACCAGTTAAACACTGAGCTCTACCATGAGAATGTGTTATAATATAAAAAAAGGCTGTGATCTATTTTGTCCTCACAGCGGATCAGTCCAGCAGCTGTGATGTCCAGCAGTCTTCAGCTGATGTTATAAAGAGCTAAACTTCTGTGTTTTCACAATGCGTTGGCATTATCAAAAAGACAGTGAACCAGCTTTTCACCTTCTAGTATATATCTACCATGAAAAATACAGATTAATGTTTTGGGGGTGGTTAGTTGAAGGGGGAGGGGCATACTGCCTCACTTTTACTTCAGAGCAGAGTCATGTAGCACAAAAAGCCATTATGGTCACTGTTCTCATCACACTTTCTGCCACACTGTTGTGCCTCACAGGTAAATGCAGGATTTATCATTACTCTACTACTAATAATAATAAAGGTTTTCTGTTATATATTTCATTTTATATGGTTAAGATAATTTTCGTTATCTCTCCTTCTCCAGGTTCTGCTCTTTGTAATGTAGTCCAGAATCCTCCTGATCTCATAAAGAATCAGAACAACACTGCTGAGATCAAATGTGCTCACACTGTAAAGAACTATGACCGCATACTGTGGTACAAACACAGTCAAGCCACAGGCTTTACATTTATAGGGTACCTTTTTAATGACAACGGGAAAACAGAGACTGAATTTGAAAAGAAGATCACACTGAGTGGTGATGGAAGAAAAAACGGCTCTTTGACCATAAACAGCCTGTCAGTGAATGACAGTGCTGTGTATTTCTGTGCAGCCTATTACACAGTGCTGTAGATCACCTCACTACACTACAAAAACCTTCCTCTGATCCACATTACCACCAAGACAACACCTGGAACTGTGGGCTAATTTTGGTTTGCTGCCAATGAAAACACTAAAAGGTTCAGCAATTGTACAACGCAGTGCTGGTGCACCACCTCATTTGTTTCTCTTATAAACAATAGTAGATAATACCTATTAAGACAGTTGTGTCATTATTTTTTCACTGATGTCCTTATTTTTTCCATCAGAGTCTGCTTTAAGCAACATTGTTCATGTAACTTAATATTTAGTAGACAATGAACAATAATACAAACTTTAATAATTTAAGTAAACTTTTAAAAAATAAGTTGCCAAAAAGTCCTCTGACTGATGATATAAAAGATTCACTTTTGGTTCTCTAAAGAACTTTTTAAAAGATATAATTTTAGAGAACCGTTTCTGTAAGAGACGTGAGTTTAAAAAAAAAAATCATCGCATATTACTTACATACTGACACATCTGTATCAGAGGTGGGAACAAGTCACTATGTTGCAAGTAAGAAGTAAGTCAATGAGCAAGTCAAGACAGTCTCTCGATTCAAGTCTCGAGTCAGTATGAGTAAGTCTCAAGTCAAATTCCAAGTCCTTATCCTCAAGCCCTAAACACGTCAGTCTGTATTCTTCAGCTAATTTAAGGCCATTTCAACACTGAACACCAAAAATTATGGTAACAGTAACACAGCCGTTAAATGGCAGCATATTAGTAGTGTGTGGCTGTATATTAATATATATGTATATATATATATATTTTAACCCTCCCAAATAAAATAGAAAATTCATGGTATACAGATAACCATGACAGACATAAAGGTAATAACAAAGCGTAGTGCAGCTACACATGAAGAGATTTTCAAAATTAATATTAAAAAATATATATGTACA